CGCTGTCGTGCCCTGAGGGGCTCCCAGAGCTTCTGGCTTTACGAGGCCTTTTAAGTTTTGTCTGAAAAACCAAAGGGCTGTGAGGAAGGGAACTAGCTGTGTGGAAGGTAGGACTCTGAAGTGTATTTTGGAAATTACTCACCACCCTCCCCCAAATTAAAAGAATTAAAAAAAAAAAAAGCATCTTTCTTCCAGTCAAAAAATCAGATTTTTTTTCTTAAAAAAAAGTGCTCAGCCCCAAAGCAAAGACCCTACATATTACATCTGACTCCCTGCTAAATCACTTTAAAACAAAGCTCCCCACTGGACAGTCCTTCCTCCTGTATGCAAAGCAAGAATGACATAGACGGGATGATTATGGAAATGCTGGTGCATTCATTCGCATCACCATTAAGTATGAATGGACAACCAAAGATGGCCAGGTGGTTGAGGACATCCAGAAAACCTGCCAACGGCAAAAGAAAGGCCAACATGAAATAAACAGAAAAATAACCCAAAAGGCAACAGAACATTCAAGGGACAGAAGAGAGCTTAAGCGAAACAAAGTACACCCTCTCAAATTTATATTCTTTAGAGAAATTTGAGAAGATATTGCCTCTGTAAAACAATAATGGGATACTTTGAAAAAGGAGCCATTAGAGAACAAGAAAAAGTTATTGCAAATTCAAAATAATCTCCTAGAAATTAGAACCAGAAAACAGAGATGATAATTGGAGAGGAAAGATGAAATATATAGAGGAAAATCTAAGATGTCTAACTTACACAAGAAAGAAAAAATGGGGAAAAAGAAAATATCAAAGAAACAATACAGATTTTTTTCAAAACAGAAAAAGATATTCGAGTAGCCCAGCATAATAAATGTAAAAAAAACATAAATATCCAAACATCCTTGGAAAAATTTTAAAACATAGCTAACAAAGCACTATAAGATTCTAGAGAGAAAAAGCTGGTTACATTTAAAAGAGCAATGGGCTTGGTATGAGCCACACTGGATGATAAAGGACACAGAATAGTCCTTTGGCATTTTGAGGGAAGGTGATTTTCAACATAGAGTTCTATATCCATCCAAATTATCAACAAAATGTGACATTTTCAGACATTCAAAGATTCAGGAAATTTACCTTTCACATAACAGTTCTTAGGAAGTTACTTGAGATGCTCCAGTGAAATGATATAGTTATGAGAGCCTAGAAACAGGAGCTAAAAGCCAGGACAGTAATGAAGAGAAGCCCCAGAATATCAAGCCTAGTGGCAAGTCAGTCCTTTGGAACAAGAAGACTGGGGGTTCTAGTAGGAGATGTTCTCGGGGAGAAAAGGGTTGTTTGGAGAAACTTAATACCGTCTTTGGAGATTTGGAATAACCTTAAGAGGTGTTAACTTCAAGACAAACAGGAAAAAAGAAAGGCACTTAGAAGCCTCAGAGGAGGGGAAAAAAAAACACAAAAAGCTGAACAAAATAGGACATGCCATCATAGTATACACCACTTAGCTGTGCAGAGAACAATATTTATATAATTAGAGTAGTGTGAGCACTATTGATTGATTTTGAATTTAGAGTCAATATATAGATAAAGGGAGGACTTATGGCTACAGGACAGACTGTTTTAACCTTGACAGTGTAAAAATCTAGCTGATGGTCTTCTGCCTTCACCCTCATCCTCTCTACCTGTTTTTCAGTCTTTATTGTATAATTATTTGAATGACTCCTGTGGCTTAAAACACAGACATACACAGACACACACCTAGAAGTAAATCCTGTCTTGGAAGAAGTCTTTTTGTTCCTTTGCCTTTCCAAATATCACTGGCACTGTTATTTTAGTCTTTGACCCTCCTGTGAAAAATAAATTGTATAAATATGTTTCTGAGGGTTTGACAGCGGTTTTCCTTTTCTGTCTTTTTCACTCTGGTTTATAGTTTCAAAAAGTACCAGAAGGTCCTATTCCTCCATCCACACCAAAGTTCGCATATGGAAAAGTCACTCTGCGAAAGGTAAGAAAAAAAAAAATAACAGCAACGTCGAAAGTGAGGAAGTGGAATTTAGCTGTCGTGAGTGAAAGTGTTACTCTGGGGAGTCGGTTCATTATTTTTCTGTGAATTTGTTTCCTGTGAGACTGATTTGGTAGATAATGTTTCTGGGAAAACGGGGACATGGGAGGTGAGAGGATGTGGATGCATGTTGATGGGGTGAGCACATGGGACATGAGCAGGAGTAGGGAGGTATTCTAGATCATTCAGATCATTTAGGTTCAATTATCAGTGTCCAAAGCAGTCCCAGGAGCCTTTGTGAGAATAACATGCTACCTTGGTGTTATGGCTGGTGAGGTTCTTTTTTATAATTCACCTTTTTTATAGGGGGCTCTCAAAAGCCACAAGCATTTTGATAGGTCTTCGCCTAAAATCTCAAAATCACATCCTGAATTTTCTGGTCTGTGGTTTATATGGTAAATGGAACATCAAGGGGAAAAGTTAGGAATTAATTATAAATAGGAGTTAAGGACATTTTAGTCTAGGAAAAGAGAAAAAGAAGAGAGATTTTATTTAGTAGTCACGAGTGACGTAAGCCAAAGTCAGTTTGTTTTGACTATCTGTGTCTTCAGGTTTTCCCCTTTTATAATCCCTAACTCCTACATGTGTTAAAAACATGAACAGTTGCATATTTCTTAAGAATCTTGATATTCTAAAATAGTATCATAAGTTTTTATCTTTCAGCAAAATGCTAAACATGATTGTATGATTTTTCCATTCATGAAGTGCTTTGATATTATAAGTTGGTTGAATTCTCGTAACATTTTCCACCTAGTGTCAGATATGTGTGTTACATTCTGCAAAGAATGTGGTGGGTCTCTGCCTGATAGGCATCTTTCTGTAGCTTAATCAGACTTTAATCACACTTGTCAAGGGAACACCTTTTATTTTTTAACTGCTATTGCTACTTAAGAAAGAGTTGGTGTGTTAGTTTTAGAGCTGTGAGAATTTTCTTTTTATACAACAGAAAATAACTGCAAACGCTTAAATACAACAACATTGCTGAAAACAAATGTAGCTTAGTACCAAAAGCACATACTGTTTACTGTGAAGGAAAGACATGTGAGCAGAAATGGCATTTCATTGTTAACTAAATATATACAATTTAAGAGAGCCAATCAGCATCTAATTGAATTAAATTTATGTAGAGCAGAGTCACATAGGATAAAACCTTTTACTGTGAGTTGAATTCCTTTAGTTGTGCAAGTGGAAAAACATCCAAGGGAGTAGCTGGATTGATGGACTTGTACTTAAGATTTTTTTTTTCCCCTTGATGCTCCACAATATCAGCAAAGTAACTATGGAAAGTGTTTATAACCAGTATCATGTCACGGAAAGCCCCAGGTTTGGAGCCAAATCTAACTGCAAATCCTGGCTCTGCCATTGCTCAAGTGAGCTTCTCTGAGTCCTCGTTTCCTCCTCGCTAACGTGGGGACAGTCATGCCTGCCTTACAGGGTGGCCGTGAGGATTCAAAGAGGTGTGCATGTGAAGTGGTGTCCCCTGCAGTTTGGTGTGCACCCAGCGTTGGGTAGCTGTTATCATCGCTGTTATTGCACTCGAATAAGCATACTGCGTTGCAAGAATACACAATCATTTGGATTGAATATAAGTGTTTGTTGAGTAGCTACTGTATGCTGGGCATTGGGGTGAGCACGGTACAGACCCTGCCCTTATGGGGCTGACAGTCTGGCAAGGATGGCAAAGAGTAACAACTGGTAGATGATACAGGTGTGGAAGATACGCTAGGGACAAGCTCGGAGGAGGGCGCTGTGGTGGTGGCTTCACTGGGGGTGTTGGGGAAGGCTTTACAGGGAGGGCAGCCTCTGAGCCTTGGTTTTCATTTATTTTAAGGGCCTTTTCTGTACAGGATGTTGTATTTGTGAATGAGTACTCTTTTTAAGATTATCGTCAGTTACTTTTCATCAAGAGTTAGGGAATGGATAGAGATGATTGAAGGTGACTGCAGAGCAGTGTTGAGTTGAATTTGAAACATTTAGCTTTATTTAGGGGTTTGGTCAAATCCACTAATATTTTTGATAATTTGCAAAGAACATTCCCCTCCCCTCTGATGACCAAGGAGGGGTGACAGTGAGTGAATGCTGCTCTTGTTTCTTTTCAGATAAGGACAGTGAATGAATCGCTGAATGTTCTGTGTCCCACTGGACCTGTAAAAAGCCTTTATCCCTTGACATTTATTCAGGTGAAACAGGTAGGCCTTCAAAGATAAAGCTTCACCTTTTTTCTACTTGCAAAAATGTGCTTTCTGCCCTGCCTTGTATTGCCTGTTCTGAGCACAGAGACCCAAATGGTAAGTGGGTATATCAGACCAGAAGTAGACTAACCATGAATTTCCAGGCTTTCTTTAGGTTTAATTACTGCACATTAGGCTGATCGTTCCTTCATTTTTTCCCTCCATTTCTTATTCTCACTCAAATAGGCAGTATCTCAACCTGCTTCAACATATAGTGCAAGCTATACATTGAATGCATTTCTGACCTAATTAATCTTTATTACTAGGTACCAGTGGAAAACTACTATTTTAATACTCAAAAAAGACAATTTAATTATTTGTCCTTAGTTAGCTCAAAGGTATAGTGACTGTGTTCTTAATAGATTAGGGTCTTAGAGATTCTTTATCCTGCTTTTGAAGAGAACAGAGAATTGAGCACATCGTGTGTGTGTGTGTGTGTGTGTGTATGTGCACGTGTGTGTATATAATCTCCAGGGACTGCCCCATTTTCATTTTAAGAGTTTTTCCAACATTTTAATTTGGAAAATTTCAATTCTATAAAAGTTGCGAGAACAGTACCACAAACACCTGTATAGCTTCCGCCTAGATTCGCCCAGTGTTCACAGTTGCTTCATTTGCTTTGTCTTCCTCTCTGTGTGCACATAGCCAACTGCTAAAGGTTTGGTTTGGTTTTGTTTTTTACCATTTGAGTCAGTTGTCAACATATCACACTTCATGCCTAGAGACGATAGCATACATCTTTGAAGAAAAAGGACATTATGATCACAATATAATGATCACACTTAAAAAATTTGACACTGATGCAATCCAATTATTTAGTATACATTCTATAGTTAAATATCTCTAGTCATTCCGATAATGCGCTTTATAACAACTTTTTTTCAATCCAGTTTCCAATCCACAATCACTCATTACATTTAATTATAATGTCTCTCTAGTCTTCTTTCACTTGAAATGATTCTTAAGTTTTTTTTCTCTCTCTCATATAATGGACATTTCTGAAGAGTTCAGGCCAGTTGTTTTATAGACCACCTCTTACTGATTAGACTCAGTAAAACATTTTCGGCACAAACACAGGAAAGGTGATGTGTCCTTCTTGGGGCACCCATGAGGGTGCCTGTGAGGTCAGTTTGTCCCTTTGTTGCCATGTTAAGGATCTCAGCCCCATTTTTTGAAAGTTACCTGGGTCTTCCTTTCCGGCTTTCTGTAGAGATTGCCTTCTGGAAGGTGTCTGAATGATAAGGTGATAGAACAATTGCATATCTAATCTTAGTTTAGTGAATTTTGCCTCCAGTTACTATTTTTACACTTGCAATATTTTACAAGAATGTTTTATTCCAACAACTCTGGTTTGTGATAAATAAAATGAATAATTAAGCTCCCCCAGTCCCTTACTTTTTCATTAATATTGAGTAGCGTTCTTTCTCTAGTTCTAGTACACACTGGCTGTATGTCCATGTCTTCATCTGTAAAATAGAACTTGCCTTCTCCACCTAGCAGGGCCATTGAGCACATCGGACAAGACAAGGACAGTAGAGCAGCTGGAACCTGGGAAGTGAATTCCAGGTTAATGTAGAGACACTTGCAATCATTGTTCTTTCTTAGACTTTTTCTGCTTTCTGATCTTTGGCCAAGGCAGTGCTCGTGGATTGCACGGGACTCCCTAGGCCCTGGCTGTTCCGCGCCTGGGGCAAGCTGTGGAATATTTCTTTCTAGTGAAACCCATGGCGAGCATATCAGCAGGGAGTGGGGTGCAGCCCTGGTACCTCTGCAGCTGCCCCCTTCACCCCAACCTTAGAACTTCAGCCACACTTTTGCAGTGAGCTCCAGAGCTTCTGCTCCCCTCTGGGAAGCCCTTCTCAAAGTTTTCCCCAGCCTCTGAGTTAGGACTTACCACTCTGGTTAGTTTCAAAAGAAAAAATACAAGAGAGAGAGATGGAGAATTTGGAGTCTGGGAGGGAGGCATCCTGTGCTTGAAGATTCGGGTGGCGGCACTAGTGACAGTTCTCGAGTTCAGCCCTTTCCTGCAACACAGGAACGTGGGTTGACATTTTTTTCTCCAGCTCCTCCAAATGACCTTTCCACTTACCTGAAGTACACTTCCTTGCTTTCCAGGCCCTGGAAGTGAGGAACTTTTTCCCTGTTCTGTGAGGGATTTTGACTTGGATTCTCTTCTCTGACTCAGGATCTGTTCCAGCCCCGTCTGGCTAATGTCCACAGCAGGGAAGTCAACAGCGGGCTGTGGGTGCTGTTGCCACCGAGGCTGACTGTTCGGGGCCTTCCTTTCAGACCAGGGATACCAGCATTTAAAGTATTTTCTGACTTAGCAGCAGGTTACACCCCCACCTCTCACTGCCTTTGTCTCCCCGGCTCTTTCACTATACACAGTTTCTGATTGACTCTCATTTTGTCTCTTAACTCTTGATTTAGCCCAAGAACCTGGAGAATGTTTTACCGAACATTCTTGTCTTTGCTGTTTTTGTTTGTCTTTTTGTTTTGTTTTGTCGAGGTAACGTAAATAACTTTTTGATATATGTGATGGGATCCCCCTTAGTGATTCTGGGCACATCACTGAACACATTTCAGGGTCCCATTTCCTCATGCCGGGAAAGGATGTTTGATAAAACACCCTTCAGCATTCCTTGAAGTTTACTGCTGTGATAGTTGTTCTGTGATCTAAAAATCTAAGCCAGTGCCCTTCTGTCAGATCGAATTTTTTCCTGGAGGCTGGGGAAGCATTTCATTGCATATAGTTTTAATAACATCACTTTCACACATATCAAGGGTGACCAGATTCTCTTAAAATGAACGGCAAAAGTGAAATTTTTCTGTATCCTTTTCTAACCAGTATTTTGGGTTTGTGCTGTACCGAACAACACTTCCTCACGACTGCAGCGACCCAACACCTCTCTCTTCATCCTTCGGTGGAGTCCATGACCGAGCCTACGTCTCTGTGAATGGGGTAAGCATTGTCCCTGGACTGTGTGTGTCTGCCCCAGTGGGGGCATGTGTGGTCTGTACTTGGTAACGTGGCATTTGAGCCCTTTGCCTACCTTTCAACCTCAAGCTCCACCTCTCCTCTCGATGTCCCTTAGCTGTGCTCCTCACTTGCTGACGTGGCCTCACCCATGTTCGATCTGCCTGGAATATACCCCCTCACCCATCTTGACCTGGAGGGCTGTGCTCAAGGCCCCGCCTTCTCGGAAACCCTCCTGGTCCCCCTTGTCCAAGGCCATCCTCTCTGACTGACCACAGCATGTCACCCATGCCTTCTCTGCTCCTTGAGGACAGGGTCCATTTTGTACATGTCAGAGTGGTGATTCATTTAACTCTGTGCCTTCATCCTGCATGAGAAATTATATTCTGAAGGATCATTCATGATAATTATAGCTAAAATACACGAATAACTTTGTTTCATGACAAGGTAAAGATACATGTCAGGATTTCTGTTCCTCTCGCTGAAACATTCATGTGAAAGAACACATGAAGAGATTTTTCCTAACCAAGAAAATTTGTTCAGAAAAATTTTAATTAAATATTTCCATTCTGTTGTCATCAGCGGCTTTATTTTTGGTAAGAGCAGATTTCTAAGACATTATGTGTCTACCGATGGCAGTTTTTCTCAGGTTCTAATTTAGGAGTGGTGTTAGTGAATTGTGATCAGTAACAATTTTCTTTCAATCTCATCTTTTAAAACATTAGGAAAATGTTGCTGCTAAAATGGCTGTTGTTTTCCCTCATTCTATTGTATGATTTTCGTGGTTAATGCATCATATCACGTATTTTGAGGTGAGAATACTCCACCAAACTCTCTGATTTTTATCTCGTTTATCTGATTTTATCTCATCACACCATGTTGTTTAGAAGCTACTTTATTCTGACTGCCTTTTGTGCTGTGAGTACACGAAGAGGTTCCTCTCTGATAGGAATCCTCCCCCAGAATGGTTTGCCTCTATTCCCTTTCTATTAAAAATACAAAGCAAAACATTCCAGAGTAGAGGAAAATAGTCTAGACCTTTCCTTTCTCAAAGCTGTGTCTGGCGACTTTCCTATTTAGAAAGCGGTGATTGGGGGAACTTGGCCACCTAGCCAGTGACTTAGACTAAAGGGCCAGCAAAGCATTTCTTCCCAAGTCTGGTGACACTTCAAGGCAGGAAAATGAGTACTGAATTAACTGCCTTTCTGCTGGTCTTCTCACCCTAGTTAATTCTTGTTTGGCATTGAACCCACAGGTCCCCCAGGGAATCCTTAGCCGAAGAGATGAGATCAGTCTGAACATAACAGGGAAAGCCGGAGACGCTCTGGACCTCCTGGTGGAGAACATGGGGCGCGTCAACTATGGCAATTTTATGAACGATTACAAGGTAGGACCAGCCTCGCTGTTAGGAGTGACGTTAAAAGGTTGGCAGGACCATGCCTAAGCCATCCAAGGAGGTTTTTATAAATCTTTTTAAAAACTCTCACGTATACGTTCTTTTCCTCCAGCCCTGTTGACATGAAGCTATTCTTAAAAGCCCACACGCTTTGTCAGAAATGATGAGTGAACCCACCGTGATTTGTTTTGCAACCTGGAAGCTGGGTTCTTTTGAAGACCTGTTTGCCTCTGCAGTTGATGAGAGATTTGAGTTTTGCAGACAGAACCCTTCCCTTGTGTTTGAGTTCAGTCATCCTGTAGAAAGAAACAGAAGGAGGAAACCACCCCACTGCGCTTTTCCTTTGCTTATAGAACCCACCTAACTCTCAAAAGGCACTCCCATGCCAACAACGCCAGCTTAGCATTTGGTCTGCCCTGTTTTCTGGGTGTGAACAATTTATGACAAACTCTGGAACTATACAAAGCCTTGGTGCACTGCTTCTCACCTCTGTTGCTAACTCTGTGCCCAGGTGTCTTCGCCTAAATATGTTTTTCTCACACAGGTTTTTTAGAGCATTCCTCAACAAACATTTGTGAAGATCATGCTCTGTGCGAGGCGCTCTGTGAGGTGCTTCAGGGCATGCAGAGGTGTTGAGATAGCTCCATAGGTAGCTCACCATCTGCTAGAAGAGAGAAAGCCTGCACCAAGAGAATTGTGGCACCCCTGGTCTAGGACAGGACAGGTGTCTGTGGCTATTTCCTGCCCCTCTTAGTGGCAGCTCAGAGGCAAGGCAATTATACTCTTAGGGAATGGCTGTGCCAGGGCCACCTTTGCCTCCAGTAGAAATGCCCCCATCGTAGTCCTGTGCTCAGGCTATAATTAGTGGCCTTCCTGCCTGGCTCTCACCAGCCACGCTAACATGTGGAGTAGTGGGACTCTTATGTAGTCTCTGGGTCCCCAATACCCAGCAAAGAGCCTGGCACACAGCTGCCTAGTTAATGTTTATTGAATTACTAAGTGGGCAATTGAGGCTTGGTATTGAGAGGTGTCCTGAGACAAATTCGAGATCTCACTAGGAGAGGAGGCGTTCTCCCACATGAAAGGCCAAGAAGGGGAGGTTAGATGAGCTGTGAGCAGAGGCTTTAATGCGGTGACCAGTGCCACAGACGCCTGCCCTGTACCCTTGCCGGACAAATAAAGCAACTTCAGAATACGAGTGCGAGGTTCACCATCATCATCACTGCTCTTAAGATCCCATTACAGATTCAGTAGGCCCACACCCCATTATCTACAGTTTTTCTTTCCACGGTTTCAGTTACCTGTAGTCAACCAACTGGTTGGTTGGTTAGAAAATTCCAGAAAGAAACAACTCATAAGCTTTAAATTGCACGCCATTCTGAGAAGTGTGATGTAATCTCATGCCATCCCGCCCCATCCCACCTGAGACGTGAATCATCCCTTTGTCTAGTGTCTACACGCCGTATGTACTGCCGACCATCAGTCGCTGTCTGGGTTATCAGATTGACTGCGGCAGTATTGCAGAGCTTGTGCTCAAGTCACCCTCATTTTGCCAAACAGTGGCCCCAAAGCACAAAAGCATTGTTGCTGGCAGTTCGGATATGCCAAAAAGAAGCGGCATAGTGCTTCCTTTAAGTGAAAAGATGTGTCTATAGGACAAAACATGGAATATGTAAGGTTCAGTTCTGTCTGCGGTTTCAGGCATCTACTGGGGGTTTTGGAACATGCTCCCAGCGGATGAGGGAGACTCCAGTATCTCATTTATGTTACCTCATTTAGTCCTTACAGCAGGTGAGTGGACTCAGGTGTGATTATCCCCGTGAGCGCTGCTGAGGAGCTTGCGGTCAGGACTTGCTCTGGGTTATGTCACAGGCGGAGTCTGTCCCCTCCCTTCATCTATAGTGGGCTGAATGTTCTTTTGCATTCCTCAGGCTCCATCTTTTCTTCCATTCTAGCAATGGCTCTGAACCAAACACCGAAGATGGGGGATTTGGGTCCAAAGCTCTAGTGGCTCAACCCGCTTTCTGTAGAGGCAGAACTCTGGCTTCTTGTGGTGACATCCTGGCCTCTAAAGAGAGAGAGAGAGAGAAACCTCCAGAGAGAAAGCCGTGGTTTGGGAAATGTACCTCTCCTCAAGGAGAAGTGATTCCACCTCAAGCCAGATCTCTGTCACTTAGATGTCACTTTGAGTCTTGTTTACTATTGGTGTTTCATATACCAGTTTGCTTTTCCAGGAATTCAGGGTGGAAACGCAGGGACACAAAACCTTTTCCTTCCCACCCCAGCTGATTGCCCTGTTTCTCCTTTGCAGGGTCTGATTTCTAACCTGACCCTCAACTCCAGCATTCTCACAGACTGGATGATCTTCCCACTGGACACTGAGACTGGAGTGTACCACCTTGGGGACTGGCGTGGCAATGAGAGCAGGTGCCATGACAAAGCCTATGCCCAGAGCTCATCTAACTACACACTCCCGGCCTTTTATGTGGGGAACTTCTCCATTCCCAGTGAGATCCCAGACTTGCCCCAGGACACCTTTATCAAGTTTTCTGGATGGACCAAGGTATGTGTCTTTAAGGAAAGTGTTTGAATTCGAGCCTCACACATCTGGTTTTTAGTATCTGAGAAAGAATCAAACAGAGCTGCTAATGAGATGCTGTGGGGCACTTTTGGGAGTGGATGCTGTTCTGTGTTAGTTCCCCATTCCTCAGGAGTGGGACCATGGCAGATCTTCAGGGAGTCAATGGCCAGCTTGGAGGTGGCACCGTCTGCCCCATTTTCATTGACTGACAGCTTCCTTTTTGTGAATGACAGCTTTTCTGCTCCCTCTGAGAAAAATCGTAGCCCTTTTGGATACCGAATATGAGAGGCTTTTCTTCTTTATCCTGAAGAAAATCCGGTCCAGGGAAAGGGGTGACTCTCAGGGCGAACCTGTTTTTCTTTCATCTATGCTAAACTTCATATTCCCATAACACCCCCACCTTCATGCAGCCCTGTGCCCTGGGGGCTTCACCTCTGTCTACTTGATCCTCAACTCTTCCTTGGCCGTCGTGCTGTCCAGTCACTCCTCTTTATTCTTTGAAGACATTGGCATACCTTCTTCCACTGTCATTTTCTCCACTTCATGTCCTATTTTCACCCTAGATGACCTTACCATCACTTACTCATTTAACAGTTTTTTCAGCGGCAACTGTATGCCCAAACTTTGTGCCGGCCACTAAGGATATAATAATGAACAGAACCAGATAGAGTCCTTGCCCTCCTGGAACTTACAGTCAAGTTGGGGAGAAAAACCAAATCATATAATCACCCAATTTACGTGGTAAAACTGCAGCTGCAGTGGGCGCTAAGAAGAGATAGTGGGAGTTGATAATAATTGGGGCACGTGACCTTGTCAGGGAGGTCAGGAAAGCCCTCCCCGGGGAAGTGATACTTGAGAGACGTGAAGGACAGATAAGAATTAACATGGCAAAAAAAAGGGAGAGGAACATATTCCAGGCGGAGGAGATAGCAGGTGCAAAGGGCATGTGCTTAGAGAGGAAAATGGCGAGTGTCAGAAACTGATAAAGAATGCAAATGTGTGAAACACAAAGAAAAGGAAGTGGTTCAGAGACAAAGCTAGAAAGTGAGTAGAGACCACATTGGAATAAGCCAATTAAATCACATTAAAGTTTTGTCTTTACGTTGAGAGCTATTGAAGCAGGAGAGTGACATGACATGATTGTGATGTGACAAGCCTCTCTGACCACAGTCTGCAGAATGGGTTGGGCGAAGGTATGTGTGAATTCAAGGAAACTATCTAGGAGGCTGGATCACAGTGTCCTTGAGAGACTGGGATGGTGGGAGCCAAAATGGAGATGATATCAACTATTTGAGAGATGTTTAAAGTTAAATCAATAAGATGTAATGATGTATTGGATATGGGGCATTAGAGAGAAGGGCATATCCCAGGTGACTCTTAGGTTCTAGACTTGCAGTTGGATAAATGGTACCAGTTACTGAAAGGAGAAATTTCAGATGAAGATTTTGGCTGGAAGAGCGAGGTCATGAGTTTGGATTTGGACAAATCGAGTTGGTGAAGCCTTTGAGAACAGCTCTGAGAAGGTACTGGAGGAGGGCTGTTGGATCTATAGGTAGAGAATTCAAAGAAGGAGTCCAGGCTGGAAATATACGTATAAGGTCATTTGTGTATGGATGGTCGTTGTTGAAGATACATACGGCCTTTTTAGGTCCTCTAAAAAAAGAGAGGATGCAGAAGGAACAAAGAGGACCTAAGGCTGATCTTTGAGAGACATGAACATGACAGAGAGTGAGGAGGAGAAACCAAAGAAGTAGGTGGAAAACCAGCATTTGTGTTACAGAGAGGACAGGTGAAATGAAGACAGAAGCACTTCTATTGGATTTAGCAACAAGAAGGTCACTGGGACCCTTTGTGAGTGCTATACCAGTAGGTTGGAGCATCTGCACGCCAGGTTGCATGCTCTTGAGAAGTGCAGAGTAAGGAAATGAACATATGAACATCAATATGGATACTCGAATATAAACATTCTTTTTCAAAAGTTTAACTGTGAAAAAAGAGGAAAATATGTTAATAGCTGGAAGAGAAGAGGGCGAAAGGTGCACACAGAGCATGTTGAATAAATGCCCTTTTATATTTTTTGCATTTTAATGTTTATGGAAATATATTTTCATTATCATTCAATTTTGAATATTTTCTGTTTTCCCTTATTATCTCTTCTTTGACCTATACATATTTAGAAATGTGTTATTTAATTTTCATATATCTGTGGGGGGTTTTAGCATATCTTATTTTTATTGATTTCTAATTTAATCCCTCTATAAAAGTTCTACAAGAAGGAGAAAAATCTCTATGACCTTGGGTTAGACAAAGACTTCTTAGATTTGACACCTAAAGCATGATCCTTAAAGGAAAAAATTAATAAATTGGATTTCATTAAAATTAAAAATGTTTTATCTTCAAAAGAAGTCATTAAGTTGGGTGGTTCTATAGAGTAGTGGTTAGCAGCACGTCTGCTTTATACGCAGAAGGTCCTGAGTTCAAGCCCCAGTATGACCTTGGGTTAGACAAAGACTTCTTAGATTTGACACCTAAAGCATGATCCTTAAAGGAAAAAATTAATAAATTGGATTTCATTAAAATTAAAAATGTTTTATCTTCAAAAGAAGTCATTAAGTTGGGTGGTTCTATAGAGTAGTGGTTAGCAGCACGTCTGCTTTATACGCAGAAGGTCCTGAGTTCAAGCCCCAGCAGAGCCACGGCCCATACCCCAGGTGCGCCAGGCCCTGGCTGCACCAGGCCCCAGGTGTGCACTGCAAGTGCGTGAGAGGAGACACCCCGCCTTCAGAGATCCAGTTCTTAAGGGGAGATGGCAACATCCATAGGTCAGGGGTGGAAGTGGGGGTTGGGGGTGAATTAAAAAAAAATCATTAAGAAATGAAAATCCAAGCCACAAACTGGGAGAAAATATTTTCAAATTGTATATCTAACAAAGGACTTGTATCTAGAATATATGAAGAATTCTTACAACTCAATAATAGATAGACAAACAACCCAATCAAAAAATGGACAAAGGAATGCAAATCTAAACTGCAATGAGATAGCATCTCACATCTGTTAGAGTAGCTGTTATCAACAAGACAAGTAATAACAAGTGTTGGAGAGGATGCGGAGAAAAATGAACACTCATACACTGCTGGTGGGACTGCAAATTGGTACAGCCACTATGGAAAACAGTATGAAGTTTCCTCAAAAAACTAAGAATTGATCTACCATATGATCCAACAATTCCTCTACTGGGTATTTACCCCAAAGACTTGAAAACTCATATCTGTAAAGATATTTGCACACTAATGTTTATAGCAGCATTATTCACAGTGACCAAGACATGGAAGCAACCGAAGTGTCCTACGATAGATGATTGGCTAAAGAAGCTGTGGTACATATGTACAATGGAATATTACTCAGCCATCAGAAGAAATGAAATACTGCCATTTGAGACAACATGGACGGACTTTGAGATAATCATGCTAAATGAAATAAGCCAGACAGAAAAAGTTGAAAACCACATGATATCACTTATATGTAGGATAAAAACCTAAAAGCAACAAATGAACAGGACAAACAAACAGAAACTCATGGACATGGACTATAGACTAGTGGTTATCAGAGGATAGCGGGGAAGGGAGAGGTAGATGGGTCAAATATGTGGTGACAGAAAGAAATCTAACTATGGGCAGTGAACACATGATGAAATATATATATGTGCCTTACTGCTAAAGTGTACATCTGAAACTTACTGGATTTCATTAACCAGTGTCACCATAATAATAAAAGTAAATTTTAAAAATGGACTTGAATAGACATTTCACCAAAGAAGATATACAAGTGGCTGGTAAGTACATGAAAAGATGCTTAACAGTGAACATCATCAGTCATTCGGGAAGTGCAGATCAGAACCACAATGAATTACTACTTCATACTTATTAGCATGGTAATAATTATAAAAGATGGACGATAACAAATATTGACAAGGATGTGGAGAAAAGGGAACCCTCCCACGTTGCTTGTGGGAATGTAAAATGGTACAAACACTTTTGAACACAGTTTGAAAGTTTCTTTAGGTATTAAACATAGAATTACCATTGGACTCAGCAATTCCACACCTACTCAAGAGAAATGAAAATAAGTCCACTAAAAGACTTATATGTGAATATTTATAGAAGCATCATTCATAATAATCCAAAACTGGAAATAATTCAAATGTCCATCAACTATTAAATGGATAGATAAAATGTGGTCTGTCCATACAATGGAATAGTATTCCACAGTAAAAAGGAGCAGACTACTGATACATGCTAAACATGGACATGGATAGATCTGAAAAAACATTATGCTAAGTAAAAGAAGCCAGATATTAAAGGCCACAAATTGTATGATTTCATTTATATGAAATGTTCAGACATGGCAAATCTATAGAGACAAAAAGTAGAGTAATGGTTGCCTAGAACTGATGGTGTGAATGGAGAGTGACTGCAAATGGGTATGGGGTTTCTTTCGGGGGTGATGGAAGTGTCCCAGAATTACATTATGGCAGTGGTTCCACTATCTTCTTAAATTTATTGAGACCTGTTTTATGACTCAGCCTCTGGTGTGTCTCAGTGAGCATACCTCTGGAACTTTAAACTCTAATATCCTCTCCCTGGCCACATATTTCTATCCCCTAACTCTCATGCGTCCCAAGCCTGCTCTTGGATCTTGCCGATGACCTGAAACTCTCTACCATTAAGGCCGCAATTCCTGCCTATTCAGCCCAGACATCAGCACTATCCTTTCTTAAGAGCCATCAATCCAGTGGCCCCCTTGCCTTTCTACTCTGTCTCCTTGTTCGTCCTCCATCTTGAATGGCCTTTATTGGTTCCCCAGTAATTGGGTACTGCTGGGGGACCTCTCCAGTGCCTTCATCAGAGCCACGATACCCTCACCGTCTCCAGCCTCTGGACCCTCTCAGCTTGCCCAGCAGCCTTTGGTGTGTCTCTTCCCCC